TAAATATAAGGGCCTGGCTGTCTGAAACACCTCCAGGGCATTTATTATTATAGGCCGGTATTACCACTGAGCACTAAAAGTTGCAGCAATAAAGTTGTTTCTGTGTCAATATTCATTGCCGATGAGGGAAATGAAGCAGAAGAGCAGGTTCACACCAGCGCGGGTTAGGATTTGCCAAGCATGGCTATTCTGAATGGGTGACATTCACTCCTGTTTGGAAAGCCAGCACAAGCCCCATGTCACCCCCTGATGATGCTAAATGAATTGGGAACAGGGAGAGGGGAGCTCAGTCCAGTTTCTAACGTGTGGATATCATGAAAAATATGCAATTATAATAAGCAGCCTTGAGGACTAATTGGATCTCATGATGACAGAATCAATAGAGAGGCCAAGGATTGAATACGCCATGGAGATGGAAGTCCCCTATCATCACTAAGTGTCATGGTGGGGGAGGCCTCCAAGGCAGAAGGTACATTTAGAAGGATCAGCCTGTGGGAAACCTTGTACCATCATAGCTTTTCTAGCTTTAAACAAAACATGCCACTTCTCTAGTGTCAACAAATCTTGTACCTTGCAGCAGCGTGAGCATTCTGCTCAAAACAATTTAAATTAAATAGCCTTGGCTTAGTGCATCACATGCCATTAAGCAAAGAGACAGGCATCCCTTTGTCTGATTTCTCTGCAGAAGAAGCTTGGATTGAAACATCTTAGAGCACCGAAACTGAGAAATCAAATATAATGGGCGCCGACTGGCTAAAAACACCTCCAGGGCTTTTACCTATTATAGGCTGGTATTGCCACTGGGCACTGAAAAGTTGCAGCAAAAGAAGTTTCTGTGTCAATATTCATTGCCAGAGGCAAATGAGGAAGGGGAGCAGAGTCATGCCAGTGCTGGTTAGAATTTGCAGAGTTTGAATGGATCAAATTCACTCCTACACAAATCCCATTCACCCCTGAAATCCCACTTTGTTTTTTTCTGGTCCTTCACACAGGGGTTATTTCATCATACAGTAAGAGCAGGAACTTTTCCAACTTACATTTGGCTTATTTATGAAAAAGAAACACCCTCCCTCCATATTCCCTCCCCTGCAGTATCCCACAGACAGTGAATTCTTTCTCTCAATGGCAACTTAAACACATTAGAATAATTGTATAGAGTACATTCTGCCGGCTTCAGATCCCTGACTCCCTACCAGTGAGAAATTCAATCTGGTGCTTACTTCTCATGATCATGTTTGCAACATGTTCTCCATTTCTCAGTATTCTAACTACTGCAGGGAAATCTTATTCTACAGCTCATACAAAGCCCAGGTCTATGCTGCGTAGATGGTGCTGGATAATTTGCTATCATTAGCAACAATGATTTTATATCCTACTGTTTTATGATTCCGTTTTCTTTCAGCGATTATTATTTATTAGAGCATCTGGTACACGACAGTGGGTGACTATCTCCACTTTAAAGAGAGCTCCTATCACCGAATAAACAACAGGCCCTTGTCGAAAGCCCTCAGCGTGTGATGCTGTAGTCTATCCAGTGCTGGGCAAATCAGGAGTGGTATGCAGTTGCTATGGCTGGGATGCGTCATAGGCTTCTAAGGAAAGGAAGGAACTTTGTGACCATTAATTGTGTGACTGTTTGAAGCATGGAGTCTGGAGGGTTTAAGGAGAGAAGGGTCTGCCCACACCTCAGGACCTCCATGAAGTTCCACCAGGTGGCCTCCAACAGCAGCTGAGTGGTAGCAGGAAAGTGATTCTGTGGGCTCTGGCCAAGCAGTGATTAGTTAGCTGGGGACTGAGTCTAGGGGTTAGGAAATGGATCCCCACTGGCTCTTGAATTGGGATATAGGATTGTAGGTTTCGCCAGCATGAGTTGCATTATCAAGGCTTTTCACAAAGAAAAGAGCAAAAGATTGAGTGCTTTTATAGGGCCCAAAGACTGTTACAAAGCTCCATCCTCACCCACATCCCCAGGGCCAGTCTGTTAGGGGTCTGAACCTCTTTGAGTACATACAATATTATTTGAGGGTTAGGGCTAATGTAGGGTTACAATTAAGGTTGTGGTTAGGGTCAGTTAAGGTTAAGGATAGTGTTAAAAAGATGAATTTTAACATAGGGTTAGGGATATAATTAAGCTGTCTACATAGAATGCTTAAGAAGTAAAATAAGTGACACAGAAGTTCTATAAAGGTACAGATTAAATGCCTCAGTTTGAATGTTTCTGAGTATCTGTACTAATAGAAAATTAGTTCATTAACTCACACGAACCACTAGATGTCCCTTCCGAGAAACACAGATTACCTGTTGGTGTCATTATCCTTCTGTAGAAAACCTCCCCCACTATGCAGAGAGATTCTGAGGATGGGTACCTTTTGGAGGGTATATGTGTCTGATTAGATTATACTGAGAAGATAGATTCTACAAATCACCCTCATAAACTGAAAATTGTTTCTGATGGCAGCCAGTGCCACAAATGGAGAATCAGGATTGTACTGAGAATCTCAGAGGAGTTTGCGTTATAGGAACAACAATTCCCAGCCCCCAATCAATCACAGAACACTAGAACTGAAAGGGACCTTGAGAGATCATCAAGTCCAGTCCTCTGCCCTCATGGTAGAACCAAGCACCGTCTAAATCATCCCTGACTGATGTTTGTCTATCCTGTTCTTAAATATCTCCAGTGATGGAGAGTCCACAACCTCCCTAGGCAATTTATTCCAGTGTTTAACCACCCTGACAGTTAGGAAGTTTTTCCTAATGTCCAACCTAAACCTCCCTTGCTGCAGATTAAGCCCATTGCTTCTTGTCTTATCATCAGAGGCCAAGGAGAACAATTTTTCTCCCTCTTCCTTGTAACACCCTTTTAGATACTTGAAAACTGCTATCATGTCTCCTCTCAGTCTTTACCTTTCCGAACTAAACAAGCCCAATTCTTTCAGTCTTCCCTCATAGCTCATGTTTTCTAGACCTTTCATCATTCTTGTTGCTCTTCTCTGGACCCTGTCCAATTTCTCCACATCTTTCACACTACTCCACAGAACTGGACACACTACTCCAGTTGAGGCCTAATCAGTGCAGAGTAGAGCACACAGCCGTGTATTTCTTGTATGCCTAGCAATGGGAGCACTTTATTAAATGTAAAGTAGAGCGCGTTATTAAATGTGAGGTGACTTCCTTTAAGTTTACAAGCTTTGTTTGTGCTGAACAGGATTGCAGATCAATTGAAACTCGTCAGACGGAGTGTTCAAGACAATTTCTTCTGGCTTTTGTGGAGCAGAGAGAGAGGAGGAGGCAGGAGATATTATACAGGGTTACTGCTACCCACACGGAGTGTCAGAGCACATCCTAGGCCAGCTAGTCTGGATGAAAAGCATTCAGGCTTACTGCTCACCCAAAATTCCAGCCAGTCTTCCTGTTCTCTAAACATGAACAGGAATTGGAACTAGGCTGGGTTAGCATTTTTCCTTGGATTTATTTATGTATCTGCCTTCAGGGCCATCCCTAGGCATACATGAACTACACGGCAGTGTAGGACACCTGAAAATTTGGGGCACCAAATTGCAACTGTGTGTGCTTATGTGCCTAAGGACAGCTCTGTCACCTCCAGTGCCAGGCTCCTCTGAAGCCCCTGCACCTGGTTGCTCTCTCCGACTGGTGGCAGGTCTTCTCTCTGTCCCCCCCCTCTACATGCTCCTCTCTGTCAGCAGCCGACTGCTAAATGGGGACTCCCTTCTGCTAGACTGGGGGTGGAGAGGAGCCCTCAGACTCTGTGGCTCTGCTCCAGCCCCAGGGAAGCCCCAAGTGCTGGTAAACCCACACTGCGGGTGGGGGGGGAGGAGGGAAGTCCCAGGTCTCCCAGAAACTGTGTGGGAGAGGGAAGCCCCAAGCCCTGAAGCTGCACTGGGGAGAAGGGTGGCCTCAGTGAATTGGATAAGTCCCCATAAATTGTAAGGACAGCTCTGTCTATCTTCCTAATTCAGTCAGATCTGGATGTAATTGAGTTCTCTGAGTTTCCAAACCAGACAGAACTGGAAAGGATTGGGTAGCACAGGAGATTTCTGTCCTGGAGGCCCATTGCTACTTTAACTTGGGTTTATTGCCACTTTATATTTAGCCCACTTATGCATGTGTGCAGCCTCTCATTTGGGCTCCTGCATCCGGGATTGTATGCAAACAATCACAAGTGGACAGCAAGTAAAAGTGCATGTTTGAGAAATCTGAGTATTTGGGATTTTTTAAACCCCTCTCTCTTTCTACCTCTTTACCCAGATTTTCACAGAACTAAAAAATCTTGTGAGAGTAAAAATGGTATTTTAGAGGCAAGGAAATTTCTATATCCAACAAAGTGCCTGCATAGTAACATCCCAGGAAGGCAGGCAGACATGCCGCCTATTTAAAGCTCAATCTGTCTAGACAATTTGTTTGCTTTTTGGCATGCATTTGCCAGTCTTTTTTCTAGCTTGCTTTTGAGTCTATCCCTTCCACAGTTTCTCCTGCTGCTTTTGGTTGTTCATTTCATATTAATCAACCTTGCAGCAAGTTTATTTTAATCACCCTTAATGCTGTCTCTTTTCTTGGGTTCATTTCACACCTTGTTTCTCAGTCTGCTACCCTTTCAGAAATGTGCTGCTTTTGAAATTTGGGACAAAGTGGACACTATAACACATCTTGATGTTACATCACTGATACACCATCTTCATGACAATACAAATGTCATCTCATTGCAAATTATGTGAGCAAAACTCCACATAGCTTCCATTCTTTGATTTGATCCAGGCACATTGCAAGATTTGGAAAACTTTTAATAAACCTTAGTAGGCTCTTGGACTGGTAATAAAACAGCATTCATGGGCAGGTGCATGTGCCTTTTAGTATAACAGCATTTTCCAGGAGAACATAGTCCTTTACATTTGGATGTAAAGAAGCATCTACTAGGAGATCAAATCAGCGATACTTTAATGGACTCTCTTCCCTCAAATATTTAGTCTCTATTCCGTTCTTACCCTCCAGGGAATGCACCTCAGCTTCTCTCGGGAATTTCAAACATCTCCAGTCAATCTTGTTTATTTCAACTAACTCTTCCAGTTCTGCTATGTTCAGGACTTAATATGATGGCAACACTTTGAATGAAGGCTTAAGGAGAATTCAGAAAATGTATCTCCTCTTGACAGACATGTCTATGGGGTGTCCCAGGTTCCTTCAGTCTTCAAACCTGCCAATGGCTTTTTGTTTCAGTGAGAATAAGGAATACTTCTCTCTCATCTCCATGAACAAACCCTCCATTGTCTCTGCATGCTACAAGCTCTTTTTCAGGACTGAGCTTTTCTGTTCTAATCCCAGTCTGGTCCAGGAAATGGGAGGGGAGGGAGGGAAAAAAAGAGAGAAGGGAGAAACAATTTTATTTTTTTCAAATAAGGCAAGTTTTGGAATAGAAGTATAGTAATGAATATGCTCCTGTGACTTTTTGTGTTTTCTCAGCTGTAAAGAAAATAGAAAAACGATTCCATTCTGTCTGGCTTCCAAACCATTCTGAGACTGAGCCCTTTATGCAGTGGGCTGCTTGGCTGTTGCTCCTGCCAGAGCTGTTTTTGACGTGATTCCTGGGACAAGAAAGTCCTTTTTGAATCAAGAATGAAACGTGGCAGCGGTTACTGTGATATTGTGTCATTGTGGTGTGTTGCCCACAGCTTGACAGGGGCTGACTTACCTCTCGTCAGCTTCCTGCTTCAGCCAGCAAGTTGGAAGCACAGAAAGAGATTTTATTAGAGCGAGGGCAGCAAGAAAAGGCAAGATTACTCAGGGCTCAGTACAGAAACAGATTTCCTCACACACCATGGCCAACGTATCTCACATCTATCCGGAAGTACCTCTTGTTACTGTGGTCAAGGGCTCTCCTGCACACAGCTTGCTCACTGGGCTGGCGGGACTTGGCCCTTCCCTGTTGACTGGATTGACAGGAATATTGTGCCCCTCTGTAATAACAACTCATGGCTCACTCTGGCTATGTCTACACTGCCTCTCGCTGGCAGAGAGTATGCTAATGAAGCACTCATTAGCAACTTCTCATGCTTCATTTGCATATTCTCTGCCTGATGCTTTTTGCACAACAGGTTTTTGCGCAAAAACAAGCTGTGTAGGCGGGTCCGTTTTGCGCAACCCCCCCTTTTGCACAAGATCTGTATGCCTTCTTTTTTGAGGCATAAGGATCTTATTCAAAAGGGGTTTTTCGCGCAAAACAGATCTATCTACATTGCTTGTTTTTGTGCAAAAGGACAGGCATAAAGATCTTGTACAAAATGGTGATTTTGCGCCAAAAAATCCTGTCCAAACTGCTTCTTTTTGCACAAATACCCCTTGCATAAAAAGAAATGGCAGAAGACCTTCTCTTTTAGTTTGGGTATGCAGTAAATGGAGCCAGAATAACTAGACCTGCTCTAATCCACACACTGGGTTATTTCAGGTCAAGTCTCTTTGGCTATGTCTAGACTGCAGGCGGATCTTTCGATAGAGGAAATCCGCTTTTTCGAAAGAGAGCACCCAGCGAGTCTAGATGCTCTCTTTCGAAGACGGCCTCTTTACATTGTAGAACGCCTTCTTTCGAAAGAGGAACTTTCGAAAGAAGGCGTTCTTCCTCGTGAAACGAGGTTTACCGCCATCGAAAGAAAAGCCGCGTTCTTTCGAAATAATTTCGAAAGAACGCGGCTTGAGTCTGGACGCAGGGGAAGTTTTTTCGGGAAAAGGCTACTTTTCCCGAAAAAACCCCTGAGTCTGGACACGGCCTCTGTGCCCACTCTTATTTCAGTATAAGAGCCCTGTTTCCTTATAACTTCCAGCTTAACTAAATCAACATAAAGGCAATCTTATATCAAAATAAAAATATCCACACATAGACTTAAACCAAAATAAAACTAAAGGTGTCAAGGATAACTGATACAATTATCTCACATTCCATTTCCAAGGAGGATTTGCTCCCATCCTCTGAGAAGAGATGCCAGGATGAGATTCCAGTAACAATCTGAACAACCAACAACCTGCTAAGTTTCAGGTAGTGGAGATTCAACCCCCAACAATTTGCCTGGAGCGGATTTCCCTTTGAACACATAATACCATATAACAGGGGTGGGCAAAATTTGTAATGGGGGGAGGGCCACTCCAAGATCTTGGCAAGTGGTCATGGGCTCCATTTCTATGGAGGGGGTGCAGGGTCTGGTATGGAGGTTGGGTGCAGAAGGGAGCTTGGGGTAGGAGACTGGAGTGCAGGAGGGAGTGTGGGGGGAAAAGGAGGAAGGCTTCACACCCTGCTGTTCCCCCCAGCAAGATTTCTCACCTCAGAATCTGGCCAATAAGAACTGAGAGATTTAGCTGGGAGGCGGGAAAGCACGCAGAGCTTCCCTCCTCCCTTCCCAGCATCCAGAGCATAGTGTGAGCTGCTCTCTACCTAACGGTTCTGGGGAAGCGGCCGTGGGCCAGATCCAGCAGTTTGGCAGGCCGGATCCAACCTGCTGATGGCCACTTGCCCGCCCCTGCCATATAAACTACTGTTGGCACAGTATCCAACACACAGTGGGCCTAAGTCTCATTTACACCAGTCTCACACCAACGTAACTCCAGTGACATCAGCAGAGTTCCTCCAGTGTCACAGCAGTATGAGTGAGAGCAAAATCAGGCTGGACATATTGTCCTTCTTGCCCGCAACAGCACAATCATATCTCCCAGCCAACCACTAACATTAATTATCCAACAGATCTCTCATAAAACTAGTAGCAGAGAGCAGATCACACTGCCACTTACAATGGGCAGCATTTACATTTCCACCATTCAAGACTAAGGTGTAATATCTTGGGGAATGAGCAGGAAACCTTCATGCTAGATACAACATCAGCACTAAATTACTTGTGAGGTGCCATGCTTCCCCGTGCAGGTCTTGTATGGAGACCACGTCCTTATCTCAAAACTTTGCTCAGTGATTCAGGAAAGAAAGATCTCCCACGTCAGTTTCTACTTGTATCTGTACATTTGTTTGACTGTCAGCAAATGTTCCCTCTAATCTTTTCCATCCATGTGCACTGAGGCATGTGCAAATGTGTACCACAAGTAGAAACAAAAAACCTACTGTGGGTTCTCTGCTAATCAGCTGGGTGGCATTTGAATCTCTCCTGAGCAAGCATACAAGCGCACAACTTACAGGGAGCATTGCCATCAGCTAAATGAATGCTTAGGAGACCCCATCTCTCTGGCTTCCCTCCTGACTCCCACAACACATCCAAAGCATTTAGTGGGGGTAAATAAAGGAAAACTCTCATTAACTACTCATTGTCACCCAGGGGGGTTTCAATCTTTGGCATGGATTCTAGGTCTCAAATTCCTTTTGCTGCCTGTGTACCTATGATGGGAGTGTCTGTTCCACCAGCTGTTACACAGGATTAGGTGATCATTCTCCCTGTACCCTTAAAAGAGAACATGCTCTTCATAGATCTAATTCTTATTGGCAAATAGTTGGTCTGGGGCAAATGCCTTCAGTTATCTTGATCCTGGCTCTGTCAATGTGTTAGTTTATCCATCGAAGCTGAGGGCATCCATAGGTGCCAAATGTAAGCAAGCATAATAGTCCTTTGCTCTTGTCTACATGCACCATCTGATGATCACAAAAGTCTCCACAAAAGTTAGTTAACCAAGCCTCACAACACGGCCATGAAGTACGGAAGGGCAAGGCTCATCATCTCCTTTCTGCTCATGGGGAGACCAAGACACAGAGCAGAGAAGTGGCTTGTACAGTGACAGATTTGCACGGAGACATGCAGATTCCCAGTCCACTCAATTAGCTATGATAAACACTGTCTCTCTCTGGAGCCAGAATAGACAGCAGTCCCTTATACCACAAGAGTCTCCTTCCTCTGAAATAAAACTGACATATCCTGGCTCTCAGATCTATGAGTTCTGACTAGAACTGGTTGGAGATTTTCTGTTGAAAAGTTTTCTTTTCAATAGAAAATGTAATTTCTTGATGTTGCCTAACATTTTTTATTTTTCTTCTGGGAAAATCAAAATTATTTTTTTGGTTTTGTGTTAGTCTGTGAGCTGCTGGAGTTTCTCATGCCTCCATTATCCTCCATGAGCCAGGTTTCCTGCTGGACTATATCTCCCATGATGCATAGCAGTCTCTTCTTTTGTTTAATTACCATGGTGCATCATGAGAGATACAGTCCAGAACAGGAGCATAAGATATCCCAACTACAACTCCAAAGAGGCACCATGAAAAAGGCAACAGAAGGATTGCAATACCTGTCAGAAAGCTGAAGGGCAGGACTGTGGCTGGTGCAGAAAGGAAGTGCTCTAAGAACCAGAAGCACAGGAGGGTGGCTGTGGGTGTCCTGTTATCTCTGAGTCCAGGTTTATACTAGACCTGGAAGGCTGGTTTACGGTACACAACTCCATCTATGCAAATAACATAGATGGAGTTGACATATCTTAAGCTGAGGTTGGCACTGTCTTCACAGTGGTTTCCTTTATTCCTTGCAACTGCAAGGAGTACTGGTGCCAGCTGTGGGTGCTCTCAGGGCACGTCTAGACTACATGGCTCCGTCGACAGAGCCATGTAGATTTGTTTACTTGGCAAGGGGAAATGAAGTGGCAATTTAAATAATTGCCACTTCATTTAAATTAAAATGGCTGTGCCGATCAGCTGTTTGGCGGCACAGTGCTGTAGTCTGGACGCTTCGCGGTCGACATCAAAGGCATTTGTCGACCTCCCTGGTAAACCTCATCCCACGAGGAATAATGGGGAGGTTGACAAATGCCTTTGATGTTGACCGCGGAGCATCCAGACTACAGTGCTGTGCCGCCAAACAGCTGATCGGCACAGTGCAGCAGACATTTTAATTTAAATGAAGCGGCGATTCTTTAAATCTCCGCTTCATTTCCCTTTGCCTACAACCCTAATCTACATGGTTCCGTCGACGGAGCCATGTAGTCTAGATGTGCCCTCAGTGTTCAATTTAGTGGGTCTTTACTAGACCTGCTAAATCGAATGCCAGAAGATCGATCTCTGCTGTGGCAATTGGAGACATATCCTGAAGTTCTGAGGTGAGAGACAGGAAATATGAGCTGATGAACATACTGGTACACAGGACAGACTTGGGGAAGGGACTACATGGTCTGCACAGACTTTGAGGGAACACTCTATGAAGCTTTGATCGTGTAAAGAAGACTTGAAATAAAACAAAACAACTAGCATTGCTGGAAACTTTCCCTGGAGGGTTCCAGACAGGGTTCCCCAGAGAGGAAGCTGACTAAGCAACTGCAAATTTGGACCCATTCAGAAAGGGGGGTCTATGATAGGCC